AAAAAGAATTTTAACTAAATAAAAAAAAGATTATGAGTAACTATTGGTGAGTGTAAATTGTAGCTTTCGGTCCAATGAAACTCTATTAGAGATAAATGAACGCTCTATGTTACACCATCAAAATTGAGAAAGTGCTCGGAGCACTTGAGTCTGCACTCTCCAACCAATTCTTTAGTTCATGTTCTGAACACCCCAATACTGCTCTTAAAAAAGACAGGTGGGTAGTGGGATAAAACTTTTAAAATATTTTAAAAAATAAAAAAATATATATCAATTTCATTTTTTTTAAATTAGAGTTTTAATTTTATATTATTTTATTTAATTAAAATTTATTTTAAATTTTAAAAATCTATCTTATTAAATATTAATATTTAAATTTAAAAATGGATTGAATTTCTGAATTTTGAATTAAGATTTTAGTTTTTAAATATAAATTAAAATTTTAATTTTTTTTAAGAGTTGGAATTGATATGCATTAATTTAAAAAAAAATTATGTTAGGATTTTTTTTTATTTACTTGGGTTAGAAGGTTATGGTGCTTTTTTATCATTTTTCACGCCTTTTCGCTCAATTTTAAAGTGCACTTTTACATTAATTTAGTACATTCAATAAGATTAAAGATGAAATTATATTTTAAAAGACATATGATTTTCTTACAAAATAATCATAGTTATTATTATAAATTAATTGATATGTAGGTGTTTAACTTACATCAGCTTTCACTTCCCTACTTTTTCATGCATTTACATGTCTAATATAATTGTAAATAATTCTCCCACTTTTCCATACATCTAATGGTGAGTTATTCTTATTTAGTAATGGTTAACATATCACTTTCTAATACATTTAGAATGGTGCCAATGGCTTTGTAACTTCTCCATTGGTGAGTAATTAATTTTTATAATCTCTCATTTAATAGATGTTTAATGCTTATAACTCTATCACCTATAGGGCCTTATATATGATACTTGTACGCTTTTTTGCTCAAGGGAAATGCATGATACTTGTACGCTTGTAAACGTAAATGTGGATAAAAGAATAAAAATATTATATATATTTACATTACTTTATTATGTCTCTCTAATTCTTTCTTCTTATTTTATTTTATTTTTTTAATTTTACAGCAATTATTCATTTTTTGACGGAAGTGTATTTCACTATTGGATTGCACTCTTTTTGTGCAATCAAGATATTAAAATTATCAAAACACTATTAATGAATAAATATGAAGGATAGCTTCATTAAAAATATTTTAGTAATTTTAGTATTTAAACTATATAAATACTAAAAAGCACTTTTTTATTCATTTTTAACTATGAAAAACTTAAAAAAAAATTTTTATAAAATTTTAAAATAAAATAAAATAAATATTTAATAAATCTCAATTACTTATAATAAAAAGATGAATTGTTATAATATTGTGTGAATATATGTACCCAAAAAAAATATATTAAAGTAAGTATTAGATAAAATCTTATGTTAAATCTTTAAATTTACTCTCAATTTTTTATTAAACTCTTGAATTTTTATTAGA